CTTTAGTCTTTAAGCTTTCCAAAAACTTCCAAAAGTCAGTGCGCACTTTCTTTACAAAATCCCTTATTTAAAAATATTGAGAAACAAAAAAACACATTCAAGCCAAGCAAAGGGGGTTGTCCAGCAAGCAGCTTTCTGCCATTATTTAGGGGGGGCCCCTAGAATAATGTCTAGAGATTTGAGGCTTTAAATCTTTATTCCGTTTCTTTGCCTTTTGATTTGCTTTACTTACCTAAGCTCTTTAGTCTTTAAGCTTTCCAAAAACTTCCAAAAGTCAGTGCGCACTTTCTTGAAGATTTCCATTGAACATTTGAAGATTTCCATTGAGATTTGATGCTTTTGGAGGCTTTTGGATGGAGATTTCTATTGAATTTTGTAGATTTCCATTGAGATTTGATGCTTTTGGAGGCTTTTGGATGGAGATGTCTATTAAAACTTTGTAGATTTCCATTGAGATTTGATGCTTTTGGAGGCTTTTGAATGGAGATTTCTATTCAAAATTTGGAGATTTCCATTGGGATTGATTGATTTTGCAGGTCTTTGGATTCAGATTTCCATTGAAATTTAAACAGTTAGTTCTATTTCCATTGATTCATTCCCTTTTATTGTAATTAATATTCCAGATGTCTTCAAAGTTTGGTTTCTTGATTCCTTTTATTTTAATATTGCCAGAGTAGCTCCAGAGGTAGCTAGCTAAGGATTCCTCATTTAATTATCAATTGATTGATTTTCTTATATATTATTTTGGAGGCCTTGGTTGTTGAGGGGGGGGGTTTATAAATCAAGGGACTACATTATACTTCCCAGATTTTTCATGGAATTGTTTCCTCCTCCCTCAACTGGATGTATCGTTCGCTTCGTCCATTTCCTCCCTTTGCGTCCCAAGCTACGGCATAGGAGTCGTGCCCCTGGCCTGCAGGGCACTGCTCACAGCTTGAAGCCCCGAAGCTGGTGCTGAAGTGGCTCACACCACAGGCGCGACACTCGGCAGCGCTCTGAGAACCGGTGCGATCGTTGAAGTAGCCGGGCCTGGAGAAGTGGCGCTGGGAGCTACTGGGACCTGGTGAGCACCCGAAGAACACAGGTCACCATCTGCCACTTAGTCAGTCAAGAGCCATCAGTCAGAACTGTTGGAAGGTGCTGTTAGAGTTAGTCTTCAGTCATTCAGTCTTCCAAGTGATTGTTTCACCCGGTGTAAAGGTTTGGTTGCTTTCGGCAAAGACTCAGCCCAATACGAGTGATATTTCTTGTGTGATCGCAGGGTCCCGCCGTCGCGCCTGCATGCCGTGCAACGAGCTGTGCCCAGCTCAGCTGCATAAGTGCCGACTTGACAGGCGCTGCACGTGACGCCGCCCAAGTCTCGCATCTCGGTGCCCAACGGACAGGGCTCACAGGCATCCAAGCCCTCTTCAGGTGCAAAGGTCCCAGGCCGACACACCGGACAAAGGCCACCCGTCCCTGCCCGACCCAAGGGGCAAAGCTTACATTGCGCACCATCGCCCTTGGCCATTTGTCGATCTGGGCAAACGGAAGTGGTCAACTTCCACACATCGACACTTCCACCCTGTTGGTCTCGGGACAGCAGCAGGCTGCTGGAAGAAGCCAAATTCAAAGATGCAATGCCTCCAAATGGGCAACATGTCCAATTACGGTGTCACGTTGTAGGTGACCCAGCTTTAAGCAACACTTAGCAAGACCCACACGAAAGTCGTCTTTAACAATTTGGTTGCCACCAACATGATCTTACAGTTAGACTAGCACAGACATGCTCCCTTCATGACACAGATGGCACTGGCTCGTCCTTTGTTGTTTGCGTCTTTTGCTCCTCAATGTGCTCGATAGACATCAAAACGAATGTTCCAGCATAATTACAATCTCCTGGGACCCTGAGAGCACTCTTGCCAAAACTTGAGTATAGAACAAATCCCTAAGACTCCAATGGACACACGGTGTTTGCATCAGGGAAGGAGACGCAGCACACGAGGACCTCAACTTGACGCCACAGTGAGACCTCAAGTTCGTGACCCCATGGTCACGCAGGTCACGAAAAGAACACGCAGGTCATGAAAGCCTGCCAAACACTTCAGGAAAACGAAAGACATCTGTGGCGATGAAAAGGAATGATGGCTGCAATGGCTGCGTATCCTGTATCCAACGCGTGACTTGGATGGCCCCGCTGGTCCAGAACGGATCGAGCTCCATTCGTGCATGGTGAGAACGTCTCTAAAACTTCGATATTTCCCCCAAAACTCAATGCGTCTAGATCTCTAGACTTTCTGCTTACAGACTTCACACGCACACTGTTTGGGGTCTCTTGCCGGGATAATTCTAAAAGAAGTTTCTTGTTGCATGGCTTGCTGCAAATCAACCGTTCGAACCCAATCTTCGCTCGAATCTTCGGAGCCCGGCCTTTCTTCTGCGCCAGTGTCATGAAGCGAGAGCCACGTTTGATGACCTCATAGTAGTGGTAGTTGTTGGCGGGGTCCCAGGTCAAGCCACCTCCGCCATTCACACCTTCTCCCGCGCTACTCAGCCAACAGGTTTTCGGGCCATGGGTCTTCCCATCGCCCTGCTCAGCATAATCGAAGGATGTACACCATGGATTTTCACAGCAAAGAGACCGGCACTCATCGACCGTCTTGTCGGCCACCACATAGCGGTTGAAGCCCGGCAAGTAGTAACCCATGGAGGAGGTAAACTCACATGATGGACCTTACGAAAAAATGGCAACATGTGGGTTCCTACTAATCCATTTCTATGGCACTTGCCCAAAAACTCAAGGGCCCCCACCACCAACGCCCAGCTCGCAATCAGGGCGCATTAGTCTTGCGTGGGTCACTGAACTCTTCTCAGACACCTTGAGCATGAAAGACTTTTCTCTATCTACATATGTTGGGCTTTCACTGGACTCATTGAAATCGACAAGCATCCAGTGCCTGCACTGATGTAGATAGACGAACACTGCGAAAAAATGCAAAGGTTCATATAAGGTTCTTATTTTAGGAGTCACATGGTCGCTCGGGTGAACCCGCACTTGGAGGACTGGGGTGTCGCATGCCGCATGGATGGGAGAGGCACACCACCCAACTCCATGTGATTCCTGGTCTAAAGCCTTTTCTCACTGAGGAGCTGGTTGCGGGACGCCACAGGATGAGCTCTTGCTCATCACCGGATGCCAACAATGGCCCCGAGGGGATCCAGGCGATGGCTTTCACTGGATGGGTGTGGTCATAGAGCAGAGTGGCCAACTTCCAGGAACCCTCGTGATGATGCCAAATTCCTGACGACCAACACATGGAGATTAAAAAAGAAACGAGATGATGTCAAAGCCCCACATTCCCCAACCCCCCCGAATTCCAGCCAAACTGAATCCAAACTGATTCCCACTAACATGTCAATGTCCAGGAATTGATGCCTGACTCGCGACCCGTTTCTGGAAAATAGAGGTCCCCGTTTTTTCGGCATCCTGATGCTTCTTCTAGCAGGGTGTCCCAAATCCACAAAAAATAACGTTGAACATATTGGGTGCTCCGCGTACTTCCTGGGTAGGAAAAAAGGACTTCTGCAGCAGATTCCCACCAAAAACAGGGGAGGGGGGGGGCGGGCTCGACTGCGAGCCCTGCGAGCCCTGCGAGCCGTCAGCGCTCGCAGTCAGCGCTTTCTCATCTCAGAGTCCCACATTTGAGTCCATCGATGCACTGGCCAACAGTCCCATGGAGGGCAAAAAGCTCAAGCTGGTGACCAAGCGCGAATGTCCACTGAGCCTCAGCCGAACACGACTTCGTTGAGGGGTCCAGGTCGGGGGTGCCAGTTCCGAACGGAGGATGTCGAGGTGACCGGAGCACCACGAGTCACGTGACTATTCGTGACTCCAAAGACAGCCACCCCGGGCCTATGTGACTCCTGGTAGATTCAGCAAATGTGGATGAATTTGCAAAGACAGCCACCCACACCTGGCCTTGCACTTTCCTTCTCCGCCTATGCCTTGATGGGGTCCACCCCTTTCTGCACATCCGGGGCAAGACCAAAGACGACGACTAAACCCTCCGGCACCGCGTCCCTTCCCTCGCTGGCCTCGTGAGCTTGCTCCACTGATCGGACTTGACCCAAATCTCGATGTCAGCAAAGGAGGCCAAGGCCAGGCCTCAAAACAAAGCTCCCTAAGAAGTCGCGTCCGTTCCGGGAACGTCTAGGCCAGGCAGGCGGCCGCCCCCCGGGAACGTCCGATCGCGAACGGTTCGTATAGCGATGCCCGACATGCTCCGTAGGGAAGCGTGCTCTACCCTAGTAGCGAGGCCGCCAGGCCTTGCGTTTGCCCGAAGGTCACCACTTCAATCGCCTTGGGCGCCCAGGAAAAGGGGCCCAACGTCTCATGGGTCTCTTCTCCTGCGAACGAACGAACGGCGGTTGGCCGTTGAAGAGCTTGGAACGGGGAAAGGGGGTGGAGCCGACGAGGAGGTCTCAGGAACTTCAAGTTAAGGTGCTTACTTACTTATACTTCAATAGGCTTTCAACTCTTGAGACTCACATAGACTTCATAACACACTTCGTTTTTTTCCACACCCCCGAAAGCTTCAAACATCTCATTCGCTGTTCGCCATCTCATGTCCTGCCAAAGCTTTCGTCATGTTCGCCATTGGCCAGAGTGTCACCATCTCATCTTCTGTGGCACCCAATAAGCCCAGCGAGGTGTGCTTGAGATACTGCAACCGGCTCGTTGCCGCCATGGTGCCCAACAAGCTGAGCGAGACGCTATTCAGCTGCCAGAAATCAATGGATGTACCTATAGGTGAGTCTGACAGCTACTGACAGCTTTTTGGAGATGTTATGCCTACTTCAACTTTTGATCACCAAAGCCTGTCAGAACCTCAAACTGAACAGAAAGGGATGAGTGGGAAAAGGATGGAAAGGGCAACACAATCACAATCTGATTCAGCAATCAACAATTCCCACCGCACTGAACCACCACCACCCAGCTGTACCAGCTCTCCCAAGGAACTCCCCTCGCTGGCGCTCGCCACCCAATCCGGAGAGATGGCCAGGGAATACGCTGGTGCGCTGAGCAATCCGGTGCAAAAGATGCGTTCGCCTCCGGCTCGAAGCATGACTCTTTCCATGCAACAAAATCCACTCATGCGATCGCCTCCAACCTAATAGCGATGGCCTCCAACGAGCGATGGCCTTCAACCTAATAGCGATGGCCTCCATCAAGCGATGGCCTCCAACCTAATAGCGAATGCCTCCAACCTAATAGCGATGGCCTCCAACCTCAGAGCGATGGCCTCCAACCCAACAGCGATCACCTCCAACCTATAATAGCCATCGCCTCCAACCTAAGAGCGATGGCACCCCACCCTAAGAGCGATGGCCTCCAACCCAAGAGCGATCACCTCCAACCATAGGATCGAAGGCCATAGTAACAAGAAGCTACTAGGAGCAAAGGGCAACGCTACTAGGAGCTCCTGGCCTTACTACTAGGAACAAGATATCCTCAGAAGACAACACACTGTAATACCCAAACTCTTGCTTTCATAGGAAAAAAAGGACGATTCTCGCGATAAAAAGGACGATTCTCGCGAACAAAGATTTAGAGCCCCTAGTAGTTTCTTGTTGGTAGCGATGTTTGTTCGCCTCCATAGGATCGAAGGCCATAGAGGCAAAGCTTTGGTTCCTCATTGGCGACCACCGCCACCTCGCTGCCGCCCGTGGTGCCCACCGCCACGTTCACCGCCGCGGCGTCTGCAAGTAGGTCACCAATCTTTTCAGCAACCATGATGGCTGCTGCTGCTTCTTCAAATGACACATCCTGCTGCCATGGGCATGTGGTGTCATTATATGAAACAGCTACACTGCAGGCCTGATATGAGTAGTAGAGTGAGCTTGAACCAACGGTGGTTGGCTGCACATCAGTGAGTGTGCAAGAAGCGCTCACATAGCACCATGCCCTGCAACACCATAAGCCAGATGTCGAATCCGGGTAAAGCTCATTGCACTGTTGCAAAGTACCGCAGGCATGTGCTGAGCAATCTCCATCATCCCAGGCGGCGCAAGAAGTGCCATACTCCACAGGAAGTCCGCGGGAGACACCTGCCGAGCCAGGACCGATGTTGGTGCAGGCACAATTTCCAGCCGCGTGGTGGATCAGAAACAAGCTCACGCAGCAGACCGAAGCGGTTCTCAACGCACGCGACATGGCGAGTTCGGGCGACGAAGTAAGTGGCTTTGAGACATATGAAGTTGTTGGTCAAATTAGTTCCAATTCTTTTTGGGGGTAGTTTTGGAAAACATACTGCCTCTATATTTACAAGCCGCAGCAGAAGATGCACAGTAATCCTGCGGAACGTCAGCTACAGTGGATTAATCATTGATGTACAGCATTGACCAGTATTGTACAATGCATGAGCAAGTGACACACTTCATCACTTCAAAAAAAATACCAGAGTCAGCAGTTCAGCTGTGGCTAGACCTATTATAGACAAACGATCAGTGGCAAAACACCACATCCATGCGCCTCCCCGTGGAATACCCAAGGAATGGTTAATTCACCGTCTCTCGCGCCTCACCATTTGGGAGAGTGGAAGCCAAATACCCAATAGCACTGCAACTTCGATTTCCCTTTGAGTCTCAGATCGGCGTGATGACGAAGAGCCGTCTTTCGGCTAAATGAAAGAGCTTGGATGGCAAGAGCTTGGAGCGAACCCATGCAGACTGATTGATAAAACAGCATTAAACCGACAGAATTGGTACATCTCCCTGCGGAGAATGGGAGAGAAAGATGGGCAAAAGAGATATATCGAATCTTCTCACGGGGAGTGACCACTCGCACTGCGATCCAACCATCCATGGGCGCTACTTCTCTTTGGAGGCCATTTCCCGTCCTGTCGTCCCGTCCCCGTCGTCGCGGTGTTCACCCGAGGCACATTGATCCCGCCGACCACGTCATGTGTGGCCGCATCGAACAAGGCCTGGAAGGGGGGACACATGCTGGGTCGACGGTGGACGGTCGACGGCGGTTGGAAAGTCTCAAATGTCGCATGTGCGACTGGAAGAATTTAAACCATTAAGCAATCCCTTGACTCAATATCACTATCTGGAAAGTCACGTGCCAGTTTGGGATGCTTTTCGGACTCACACTGATTGGTCGCGACCGCGTCGCCGTTCGGGTTGCTGAGCTGCGAAGAACAAGTGGGGAGCTCGTTCATTGTATCACGCTGTAAAGACTGAAACAAAACACCACATATGATTATATTATTATATATATGGTTAAATATACATATATTATATATATATATATCGATCGTTATATGGTTATATATGGTTAAACGCTATATCGAGATAGTGTATAACAAATCGCACATTGGTGTCCTATCAAATCGCAGCGGTTGACTCAACATCCTGCATCTGGAAGGATCGGCCGAACCAAGATCGGTGAATGAGGATAACACCAGGAGTGGATGAAAACAGCGACCCTAAACATCAGTGAAGCTTTGGTGGTAAACTAAATGCTTAAATCCAGATCTACTTGTTGAAAGACACAACAAAACATCATAGAATCATATCTGGCTATGATCTGTCTGAGGTGTCCAGATTCTGGTCCGCAGCCAGGCTTGAGCGAAGGTGGATGATGTTGATCTTAGCTATCTATGTTTCTTTCTCCACAACCAAAAGCTACACAAGCGCTTCTTCCAGTCTGATTCTGCAAAAACCAGGACCAAAGGCGTTGGGAGCCCTCTGGGAAGCTTTCCGAAGAAGGAGAACTCCCTGCTTTTGAGCGCGTGCTTTTGCGCAATAGTCTCTTCGAACGCGATGAGATCTGAGATTCCCAGGCCAAACCCAAAAACTTGATGAGGAAGGCCCCGAGGATACCTGACACAGCTCCAGGTGCACCGGTCTTTAGTTCTACAGTGCTGTTCTGTGAGGCTTGAAAGCCCCACAGCTCAGTGTAGGATTGCACCGTCAACACTTTTGGGCATGAAACCAGCTGATCCTGGCTGCACCTTCCTATGTCCAACGGGCTTGCTTTCTCAAGTCGGACGCCCCCCAAAAAGTAGGGCCCATCCCGTCCCTTGCGAGTCACAGGAAGTGACCCGAAAACCCTTTTTGTGTGCCACTTCGAGTCGTTCCGTGCATGAACGACCGCCTACTACGGATTCGTCGTTGCAACTCGCAGGACCCACCGCATCCGACGAAATGGGGCACATGAAATCTGCCGGTGACCAACCTGAGAAATCGACCAACCACGTGTGCTTTTGGGCACCTTAGGCATGTTTGTTGCTAGCGTATAGATGATTGATATGATTGTACTTGCATGTCAATGACCAATGAACCACTTCCTGAACCCTTCTGGATCGCCAGATTCCAACCCCAAACTCCGCCATGCTACCTGACCACCTGACCACCTGAAGCAAGCCAAGCAGCTGAAGAGGAACCACAGGAAAAGCACCAAAAACCACATCCCATCCACCTCGCAAAGCGTGAACCGGCCTTTCTCGCAGGCCGGGTTCTGCTCTTTTCGGAGGTGAGAAACAAAAGGTGTCTTGACTGGCCCCCCAACGGCTTGCCCAGACCGGCACATCGTCAGGTCTTGCCGGGTGTCCCCCATGTGTCAGTTGAAAAGAGCTGACGATGTCAATAAATAAACAAAGGAAGAAAGACACATGGGGGACACCCGGGGGGCATCCACCAAAGCTACAATGCTTACAAGATCTTACAAGCTTCAGTTCAGTGTTCCTGCTAGTAACTGCAAGTAAAACAATACGCAATCTGAACATGTTTGAACCTCAACTATAGCACCCATCATCGATGAATGGAGTGTCGTCCATGCTGGGCACTGTCAATCCTTTGGCCGTCTGCAGGTCTGTGCACGTGAGGTTCTCCTTGGTCGAAAGCACGTCTCAGCACAGCGCCCCAGGCACCCCATCCTCCAATTCTCACGCACTCTGACAGGTTCACACATGGAAGTGGAACAAGAAGGAACCACAATCTCCTTTTTGAGGTTGAATTCCCAGAAGCCATCTTCCATAGCTCTTCATGAGGCAGCCCTTCCAACTCCACCCACTCCTCCAAAAGAGGGTGCTTCCCTTTCGCAGGAGTCTTCTTCTGGTCTTCACATCCAGGTCTGTTGAACCCGAAAAAAAGCACCTCCACGTTTCCGGAGGCTTCCAAGATGGAGAAGACCAGCAAGAAGACGCCACAGGCGCCCACTGAGCCCAGGCAGCACCTGAGAGAAGCAGCTGTCTTAGAGCGTCCAGAGCGTCCCAGCGGTGTGAAACGGATGAAACACGTCTTGGCGTCGCAGGACGCGTTGCTGCAGGTGGGATGTGGATGTGGTTTACAGAGATCCCTTTTGACAACTTTGTATGAAATCCTGCAATCTGAGGCGTCGGGCATTTCCTTATTCAAAAATTTCAGGTTCCTCTGCACGCCTGGCGAAGGCTGGAAAGAAATCATGTGTGGCGGTGTCCAATCACTGGATGTTCCACTGCCGTCCACTGACTGCCTTGAGTTCCTCTTGAACAAGCCAGGTACGTCTAAGATCCTACACGTCAGGGGAGAAGATCAGCTGAGAATCCCCTGCCCACTGTGGGATCCACATGCAATAGGGCTCTTTCTGGGACTCATGCTTCGAGCGTCGCTTGCGCCGAGAACGTGAAGCCTACAAACCCAGGCACGCGCAGGGCTTTCGTGGTTTTGTCAACCTCTCTTGCTGCTTTCATAGATCTACAAGATCTCGAAAAAACATGAAAATACTCTTTCAGAAACCCAGAGAAGTCAAACCTCATCCCTTCAACCGAAAGAGTTTCTTCTCAATGATCCAGTCTCTGCCACCTAAAACCGCCTCAAATGGTTCACAGATCCCAGATCCCAAAAAGACATGGAAAGTCTAAGACTAATGACTAAGAACACACCAGTCAGTCCAATGATCCAGCCAGTCCCCTGTCCAGCTTCCCAGACCTTCGTCGTTTTCCCGCCTTCAGTTAAGTTCGTCCACATCAACGGGTCGCGCTCGTTCACTTCCTCCGGTGCATCCTGATGGCGCGGAGGAAGAGGCTCCGCGCGGAGGAAGAGAACTCGGGGTCCGTTAAAAGCTTCGTTGGATCCACCACAGGTGATGGAAGAAAGAACACTTGCATGTTATACTGACTGGTGCGACTCATAGGGAATAAGGGAATGAGCCCCCAATAGATATTCTATTGGATCCAGCCACCCTCATTCGGCCTGCTAAGCACCAGTCAGTATATGGATGACTTCTGGTGCCATGGCTGGAGTCCTGGAGTCCGGAGACAGGCAACAAGGAACGAAACGAATCAAAGCGAGTTCATGAAATTCCTCCAACACCCAAAGAGTGGTTCAGAAAACCCACCCTAATCATACCAATATATTGGGTCGATCTATCCTAATACCTGTAACCGTGGATAATGCTGGTTCGTAAAGGCCTTGTTCAAAAATGGTGATAATTGTATACTGACTGTTATTAAAGGTGCGAGTGGATCTTAATCAGCGAAGTTTGAAGCTATCACTGACGGTCCATAAGCGGCGTAGCGTCGGAACGGAAACCGCACCTTTTCTAGTCGCTTGATCCTTGAGCCAAAGTACATATGGTACATATATATGTACAAGTTGCACTGTACGTGTCGCTGCACTTCCATTCGCACCCCCCATGTGAACGTCAACAATATGTTCCGATCACACACGAAAATTTAGGGATGTAAGTGCTACAAAAGAAATTGTATGATTTGCCGCGAGACTCATATGAGGCTCATACTACGAAACATGCTGGACTAAAGCGGACTTTTACATATAAAGTGTGCAACTATGGCTCAGAACCTATGAAAATCGAATTGAACAAGTGAGACAGTCACGAGGCCTCGCTCAGTATCCACTCAAAAGAGCATCGCTTTGATGTAGATCCGAACTGGTGACTTCCACGTAGATGTCACATCGGCAACTGACTTCACACTTCTCAAAAGATGTAGGTTTTGGTTTGGATACACTTACAGAACGGCAAGTCGGAGAGACAGTCGGTGACTGTCTACCTTCCATTATGCTCATGGTATCAAATCGTCAATCCGATGATTTGCAATGATACACTTACAGCGTTTCAGGTCAGATAGACATCCGGTGAATGACTTCCTCCCTGGTTTGCATGGTATCCTCATAGTCGTTCAAAGAAATCACCACTGGCGATAACCTCTCCATCCACTATGATCCCAGCTGCCCTGAGCATCCCGCCGATCATCTTCTCCCTTCTTGGACTTTCCCTTGGACTTGCTCTTTCCCTTCCCCTTTTCAGAAGGTTGAGGTACTTCGCGACGTTCTTGCGTTAGCGCCGGCCTCCAAGATGTTCCAGATTGGCCTCCTCCTTTGGAATGTCCTCGGGATGATGAAGAAGTTGTACCTTCTGCTGCATGTGCGTTGGCGGCAAGATCTTCCTGCAAAGCTGGCTCAAACACACCGGTAGCACTGGATGGTGATTTATCATGTGGTCTGGCTTTTGGAGCAGCCTTCGCCTTGTTCTCATCTGCTGATGAGGGCCCGAAACTCTTAGGTGCTGTTGAAGGTTTTGGCTCCTCACTTGGTGCTGACGACGGCTTGGCCTCGGTTCTGGGTGTAGATGCTGGCTTTGCCTCAGCTCTTGACGAAGATGCTGCTTTCGCTTCAGACTTAGTCGTTGATGTTGACTTAGCTGTTGACTTGGCTGCCTGCTTCTTCTTGTCCTGAATCTCCTTGGCCCTATCTCCAAAGCCTAGACGATCGGTAAGAGCTTGAACATGCTTCTGTTCTACCACGCTCATCCATCTCTCTGTATGTCCAATGTTGGGATTTCTGGCCATTGACTCTACGACATTCTGAGCGTGTGGGGGCAACCTGATCTCATGTTGATCAATGATCAGCAGAATAGACTTCTCCCATTTGCTCTTCATTCTCGAGTACATGATGTCCAGAGGATCGATCACCTTGTGGTTGGGTGATGTAACGTCGGTTCTAAAGTAAGAATATGTCCGACAACCATAAATCGCATGGATGCACTTCTGTACCAATTCAGTCATTGCGCTGGCTTTCTTCGCTTTCAACTCCTCAAGCTGGACGTCAGTCAAGTTGGTGGAGTATTCGAAGTTGCCATATTCCTTCTTGAAGGAGTACGGAGTATGACCAAATGATAGGATCACGAGTGCCACCTTGCAAATGAATTGCTCTCCTCTGAATCGGTGCCAGGCCTCCTCAATCGTAATCTTGTTTTCGTTGGCAAAGATTCTCATCATGTCATCTGTTGGATCCAATGGTCTCCCATCGTCATCGATTTCAGTGAAATCCTCTGTACCGAACTTGCTTATCACATCCAGTCGCTTCCTTTTCCAATTTGCTTTGAAGTCGGTAAGGCTGGTGCAATAGTAGCTCTTGTACATCAGGGAGATCATGTTCAGCACACATTTGACCACATACCTATCCATCAAACCCGATGCATTCATGGAGACGTCCTGACAGTAGGCTCTCTCTTGATGCGCATAGATTCGAGGTTCCGGTACTCGACAATAGATGGGGAGATCTTCGTTGTCTCTTCCTTCTTCGGGATTGAACTCGGTCGCTCCATGCTGTGCATAGTATCCCGGTTCATCACGATCTGTCGGTCGATTCGCCTCCGGATGTAAGTCGTCGGTGACGTCTTCATCCTCGGGCTCACCATCTTGACGTTTCTTCCCCTCATATTGTTGTGTGCTCCTCTGGATCTCGATGATCACGTTTCGTTCGTCTTCATCTTCTAGATCAGAATCACGACCGTAGTCGATCTCGTCCTCATTGAAAGATGGGGTCTCGACATTGTCACTCTTGAAGTTTTCTGCACCATCAGACGGTTTGGAAGGATCTAGATTGTCCATGTCCTCGTCGTCGTCAGCTGCTTCAGTTTGAGCGATGTCTTCTTCCCAAGCCTTTCTGATCTCGTCCATAGTGGCCTGGTCCAAGATATCTTGATCATCATCTTCAGGCTCCTTCTCTTCCTTCTTTTCCTCTTCATCGTCGCTCACAAGATCAACGGGTGAATCGGAAATGACAGTGTTGCGAATACCACACGAGAGTAGCCTGCCTTGACAAGATAGACACACGGACAAAGATGAAGAAGTCAAATGCATACATGATGGACACAAAATATTGCCATCCACGTTGCGATACCCTTCACATGTTCTGGAGATGATTTCGTCCCAAGTTTCCTCACTGATGGAATCCTCGATCAGCTCTCCATTGTCATCGAATTGTACTTCATCGATAAGGGACACGAGCTTTTGGACGTTGTCATCTGTCGCCGAGGCTGACTTCGTGACTTCGTCGGCTCTCTCGAGGATGGTATGCTTCTGAGCAACCCAAAGTCCATGACGTGCCGCTAGAACAACTTGCTCTCCAGTGCTTCCCAGCAGGAGTCTCCTCCATGCCTGAACGTAGTCGTCCCAATACCAAGCACCTCGTACACATCTCCATGGAACTTCTCTAAAAACAACAGTGTAGGAATTCTCCGAAATTCTTCCCCCAAGCTTCCTCAAAGTCATGATTGGAACATAAAGGCAAACGGGCATTCCCACTCTTGGCCATCTTGATCTCAGAATCTTTGATGATCGATCATCCCACGGCGCAAAGTGGTTGAAGAAAACACTACCTCTATATCCCTCCGTTCCACCAGGGACAATTCCTAGTTTCATGATTGACTCAATATTGGAAAGCGATGTCATGTGAAAGCTTCCTCCAAGCTGCATTGCCACATTCTCTGGAATGAGATGTGAAGTCCACACAGGATATATTGACACATCCTCTTCAAGAACAGTCTCTCTTCCAGAATTGTGAGAGGCAACAGCTCGAATTGCACAAGGAACGATCCAACGTTCATGCTTCAGAAATGACGGTGCATCTGTGCTGTAATACATGAGGTTTGCCCAGTATTGCCTTTCCTCTTCGAGTGAGACATCCTCCCTTGAGATACGAATGGCGGCAATCTGATAGCGTACTCTGTCCTGCAACTTCTTTGCATGCCACATCGCCTTGCATAAATCCTGGTATCGCTCTGTCTTGACATCTTGCTCACGTCGATCACCTGAGATAGTACTGATATCGACACCATCGTTGAAGACATGGTCATATTCCAGGATCTCATCGATGTTCACCCATCCACCCTCATTGCACTTCCCTAAGGATCCGAGAAGCCACTTTTAAAAATAGCTTCTGGTGGAAGCTAAGATTTTAGGCTGGCAGCCATGGAAAGTGGCTTCCGGGTTTTGAACTCTAGAAGCTACAAAAAGTGGCTTCTGCAAATCAGCATGTGCATCTTTTTCCTTGGCACAACTGTGTGAGACAAGGTGAAACATATTGTACCTATGGTTGCATGGCCTTCTTTCAGGCTGAAGCTGGACATCGGATTTGGGCCTTCTTCAGGCTGAGCTGGGCAAGTTGACATTCAGAGGGGGTGTGTCATTCATGAAACAAAGGAGGGTTTTCTCTGCTTCATTGCTTGCATTTCTCTTCCCACCCCTTCTGAGTGCCCACTGCTGCATGCAGGCTAAATCAAAAATATGCTCAGCCAAGTGCCACTTAGGCTTGGCATGCCAGGAACAAACATCATTTTCATCTTCTCTTTGAATGTGAGATTCCAATGCCATGTACTGGCTCTTCAATGCCCTTCCATATTTGGCCAGCTTCCTGCCATTGAAAGCTTCCACGTGCTGATAGACTTGGGTGGTGAAGGTGGCAACTTTGTGGATTGCTTTTTGCAGGCTGGTGCCTGTGTCAAACTCGTGTGCACTTGTCAAAGTGCTCAAAATCCCCTGCCTGCAGGTTCAGGGGCCTTCCCAGGCTGTTTGGGCAATTGCGCACTGGCTGGGACACCCAACTCTGAGTAGATAGTCTGAATATGTGCCCACAATCTGCTTGCTTTTTCTGGCTTCTTCCCTTCATAGCAGGGCAACAAAGCGTTCAAAACTTGCCCTGCACAGGCTGCACCACATCCTTCATCCATGACACGCATCCAATCAGGGACTATGGTGTGG